TAATGAGAAGGAAGAACTCATTGGAGAAGAGCCTCATGCTGGGAAAGACTAAGGGCAAAAGAAGAAGGGGACGGCAGAGAAGGAGGTGGCTGGATTGAGTCACCGAAGCAGTAGGGCGTGAGCTTAAATGGACTTGAGAGGATGTTAGAGGACAGGAAGGCCTGGAGGAACATTGTCCATGGGGTTGCGATGGGTCACACGACTTCGCAACTAACCACAAATATATTTATATTCCTCCTACGATCGGGGCCTTGGTGAGGTGAAGGGGCTTATGTGGGTAAATGAAATTGTGGGTTATATTGTCAGACATTTATATATCCAGAAGGGTCTCCCAAGGTGAACAGGCCATGATGGATACCCCAGATTAACACCGATCACATCTGGCAACCCACATGGGACAGCGTAGCAGATTATGATCTATTCCTTCCACAATCTCAAAAACGGACCTCACTCAGGACTGTATTGGTTGGAAACATGCGGAAGAGGCCCTCATCCTGCAGTTGATAGACAACAAAAAACATTTTATTCGACAGCAACTGGATTAGCAAACAAAAGGCAAGCTTAGAGAGAGAGGCTAATTATGAGGCACTTCTAATTTTTGCTTTAATCTGTTTCTCAGATATACATTATCCTCTTCTCCTTATAATACAGAAACACAACTGCATGTTAGTGTCCAAAATCAGAAACGTGGAAACCAACCACCAAAGAACACTGGCAAAAAAAAAAAAACACTGTGAAGGGGAATTGAATGAAAACTAATGAGGTTCTTTCTCTGTTGGACACATTCTCTTCTACTAATTGATGCCGGTGTACAAATGGGAAGGGCTTAATCTGTCCTTCATCACTGTAGTGCATAGCTAAAGTAGATCTTGAAAAGGTTGACTTGCCAAGACTTCGACAACAACACCGACAACTTTTATCAGGAAGACAAAAGTGCCTACACAAGAGACAGTCACAACATGGAAGATAAGGGGATGAGTGGGGGGAGAGGATGGAGCAGGCCCACTGCAGGATCCCCGTATGTATCAAACAAAGTGTTGCCTCTCCCATCATGCTCAGCCCTGGGAAAGTGACCGCTTGCCACAGTGTGATTGTAGACATTGATTGTCTGATACATATACACCCTTGTACAATCTAGCACAGTCCTGTGCTATCAGGCCAACCCGGACTGCAACTCCCATCTGTTTTAGATAGGAAGACCATGGGTCTTGGCACATCTGGAAGGCTCGGGAAAGAGAGTCGCCCATAGGCACCCTTCCGGAGTTGAGCATTCATCCGTGTTGCAAACTTTTATGGCGTTTCCTCGTATCGCGGCTGCTCCTCTTGCAATTTGGCTAGGTTCAGAGCTTCTCGGGCGTGGATCTTCTGGTGCTTCACCAAGACGGTGCGGTGGGTGAACCTCTTGCCACAAGTGGGGCACTGGTGAGGCCTCTCCCCCGTGTGCACCTTCTGGTGGCGGATGTGGACGGCCCGATCGGAGAAGCATTTCCCGCAGGTGGCGCACTTGAAGGGCTTCTCGCCCGTGTGGGTCCTTTGATGCACCATCAGGATTTGCCACTGGCTGAAGCTCTTCCCGCACTCCGAACAGGTGTAGGGCCTCTCCCCGGTGTGGACTCGGTGGTGCTTGACCAGCTGAGAAGACGTGTTGAAGGATTTCTCGCAATCGGGGCATTTGAAGGGTTTCTCTCCCGTGTGGGAGCCCTCGTGTTTCTTGAGGCTGGAGCCGCGGCTGAAACCTTCCCCACACTGGCCACATTTGAACGGCTTCTCCCTCACGTGGACCTTCTGGTGGTTGAGCAGCTGAGACTTCTGAGTGAAGCTCTTGTCACACTCGGAGCAGCTGAAGAGCTTCTTTTCAACGTGGACTCGGTAGTGCCTGGTGAGGACCGAGCTGACAGTGAAGCTCTTCCCACACAGATCACAGGTGTAGGGCCTCTCTCCCGTGTGGGTCCTCTCGTGGGCAACCAGAGTGGACTTGAAGCTGAAGCATTTCCCACAACTCTGGCACATGAACGGCTTCTCGCCCGTGTGGGTCCTCTGATGGGCAGCGAGCACTGTGCTCCGGCTGAAAGTCTTGCCACACACGCCACAGGTCTTCTTTTCTCGACTTCTGTGCCGTCTTTGGACCACAACAGGTTGGCTTGAGTCCCCATCTTCTTCTGCTAGAGGAAACCCTTCAGGTCTCTGTTGACCTGGTTTGTCCTCATCCTTCTGGTCAGCTCCATCCCCAAGAGCTGCAGGACCATCTCCATCTTCTTCGGACCAATAAGGTTCTTGCAAGGAGGGCCCACACAATTTCACGGGCTCGGTGTCTTCCAACTGGGGATCCCCTTGCCTCGTCTCAATCACCCACTTGTCATCTGTGGGAAGCATAGAGGAAAAAGGATTACTCAAGCACAGCGGCCACATCAGAGCAAAGTATTAGCCCAGTACCCCATTTCCAAATTACCCAATCAGATGGTTCCAAGCAGTTTCTCAAATATGATGTAGGAAATATTTTGTTCCAAGCTCAGATAACAAAAAAATAAAAACCCACCTATTCCTTCCCATTAGAAACAGGGCAACTTTTAAGACTTGTCGACTTCAGTTCCCAGAATTCCCCAGCCACTGGAAATTTTGAGTTCAATTATCATAGCTTGGGGACTACCAATACTTTTGTGATTGCTTCACTCTTCATGCAAATCCAAAAAATGGAAATGGGCAAATCCATGGCTGGCTAGGGGAATGCTGGGAGTTGAAGTCCACCCATCTACAAGTTGCCAAGGTTGAGAAACATGTTCTAACGCAGGGGTCTCCAAACTTGGCAATCTTAAGACTTATGGACTTCAACTCCCAGAATTTCTCAGCCAACCATGGATTTGCCGTCCAGCCGTTTTCAAATTGGCAGAGTTGAGAAGCACCACACTAGAATATGACAAAGAACCAATTGCATGAAAATAATGATGGGAAAGGGGCTGAAACCTGGCTTTTTATGAAGCTGCAATAAATGGTTATAACCTCCTGTCCGATTTCAGAATTATTCTGTCCACCCACATGCCTGAAGAGTGACGCAATCGCAAATGTATTGGTAGTCCCCGAACTATGACAATTGAACTCGAAATTCCCAGTGCTCAGCAAGACAATTGTCAAGTGAGGTTTGCCTCATTTTACGACCCTTCTTGCCACAATTGTTAGGTGAATCACTGCAGTTGTTAAATTAGTTCTCTGCAGTTGTTAAGAGCCATGGTGGCCCAGTGGTTAGAATGCAGTATTGCAGGCTAATTCTGCTGACTGCCAACTGCCGGCAGTTTGACAGTTCGATTCTCACCCGCTCAAGGTTGACTCAGCCTTCCGTCCTTCTGAGGTGGGTAAAATGAGGACCCAGACGGTTGGGGGCAGTGGGCTATAAACTGCTTAGAGAGGGCTGTAAAAGCACTGCAATTGTGCTTTTAAGTCCAAGTGCAATTGTGGTTGTGATAGTTACAGTGGTGATAGAGAGGGGTGAAGTGAATGGGGCTTCTCCATTGACTTTGCTTCTCAGAAGCTTACAAAAGGTGACCACATGACACTGGGATACTGCAACCCTCATGAATATGAACTAGTTGTCCAGTGCCCGAAATTTGGGGGATGCTGCAATGGTCAGAAGTATGACAAAAAAGTCGTAATTCACTTTTTCAGTGCTATTGTAACTTCGAGTGCTGATCAAATGAATTGTTGTAAGTCAAGGACTATCTGTACACTTAACTGGTAAAATTTCCAGAATAATTTAACTCTGAGAAACAGGTTGGAAAGTAGAAACATTTGCTCAGCCCCGAATAAGTAGAAAGCAGGAGAAAGACTTACAAGATCCCTGCCTTGTTATCCTTATAAAACAGCAGTCAAGGTTTGGAACAGGCTTCCGTGGTTCTGTTAATTTATCCTAGAGTTGTGGCCAGCCAGCAGAGCTGGCAGCAGATTCGGACAGTGAGGAGGTTGGGGAGGAAGATGGGCCAGTCCTGGAGTCTGGGGAAGGCTCGGATGAGGGCTCTGGATCGGAGGCAGAGAGGGGTTCACAGAGCTATATGCCAGTTATGAGCTGCCTTCAGAGTCAGAAATCAGTTCAATTCAATTCAATTCAATTC